TTCTTTACTGTAAAATATTTCAAAATATTTAATATTTGGAAAGAAACAAAATCTACATATTCTCACATCATCAAAATTTTCCCTCATATTTAAATATTCTGGCAGAAAATCTTTCATATAGAGAATTGCAGTGGTACTTTTCCTGCTTTGAAGATATATTATTTTTTGACCTGGTCAATAAGATAAGTAACAAGAACTAGTTCTACTAATCAATAAGATCTATGTGAGCAACTCTTCTTTAGAAGTAGCAACTACTCTTCTCATCATAGAGTCTTGGGCTTTATACTATAGCTTTTTCTCTCTTATGATTAGTTAAGTAATCACCCTTAGGTGGTAAAGAATGCTAAACAGAAAAATGAAGTTAAACACCTTAATAAAATACCCGATTAAAGAGATGCATGGCTTAGATAGATTATATAAAATTTAAGAGTTTAACTTAAAAATAACTAGCTATTCTATGTCATAACAATCAAAGCACACAATATATCATCACAGCAATTTAGAGTTAATCCAGCAGAAACTTTAGGTTCACTAGTCCTAAAAATAAAAACAAGATGCCATTTATGCAAAAGAGAGCTTTCTGTTGCTCTTTAATTGTCAGTTAGAAAGATTAAAAGACATGGCTGTGGTTGGCTTAAATTTAAATGACCATGAGCTAAAAAGTACACAGTAAAGACTAGGAAAATAATTAATTTATAATAAAACAGAAACTGCAATTTAAAGAAATGCTCATTTTTGAAATTTGGGCCTATAGGATCACTTTATAAGTTTACGTATTAGAGAAATAACCTTGGAAATGAAAGTCTAAATAATTCCAAATGTAAATGAAGAACTTCATTTTTAGAAGTTGTAAGCATTATGTGTTCTTTTGGTAACACTACATACCAATCCATTAATTGATAAATAGGAGATTGTTAATCTAGCACTAAGCATCTTGTTCCCATCAGCCCTGACATTTAATCATTCATTAAATATTCAAGGGCCTTTTATTGCTATACTTTAAAGCATATGGTAAGATCTCTTTTCATGCATGCATGAAGAGAAAAGAAAGTAAGAGAGAAAGTGCTTAGAGTCTGCCATGCCTACAGCCCTATACTGAGGATACCAGTCTCGAGGGGTTATTTTTCTATAAAGTTGTTATACTTTCTTATATTTGCATTAAATTATGTCAATCCTGCTAGCCTTGCCACAACTGAATTGATTTCGGGATTGGCATCTGAGCCAAATACAATCATGAGTATATTCAAGTTCTAAGAGAGATCATTGTCTCCAAGTGGGCTTAACTTGAGACATGTCAGTTCTATTTAAGAAATGCTTCTATTGCATGGTTATCCCAGTTATCAGAAAGGTAAAATTTGGGAGAAAAATGTAAAAGACATTTTCAGGTCAAAGAAACACATTATAAATATTAGGTATACTTTAAATATGCAGCTTGTTGAAACTTAGATTGTATCCTGAACAATTCTGTGCTATTATTCTAGTTCTCCATGAGCCTGCTATACATCCTAGTCTTAGAAGCCCTGGGACCCAGAATGATAATTGGTTTGTACAGCCAGCTTTCTTAGTTTATTATTCCCTTTACTTCCCATATAAACTCCCACTACTAAGAAGATTTCAGGAAAAAAACTGCGATAGCTTAAGCCTCTGTTATAAGTCGATCAATAGCATCTAAAAGATATAAGACAAAAGCATCTGATTAGACATAATATTTGAAATTGGAAAAAAAAATTCATTCTGCAAATAATGGGAAATGCAGGTAGAATGAGGGAAAGAAGCAAGGTCTCAAAAGATGAAAGACAGTTTGGGGTTAAAAAAAATGTAGCAAACAATAATGAGATTAAGAGATTCTTCTAAGCACTTAAGAGATGCCCCTGACAGATAGCAAGAGCAAGGAAATACTGAATTAAAAGACAAAATCAAAAATAGTCTTTAAACACCCACACTCACACAGAGCCAAGAATTGATTAGTTACAGGTAAATATTTTCTTCCTCATCAATGTTTTCAAAAAGAAAGGAAGCCTATTTTACTTTTTCTTGTCATAATAAAATATTACAAAAAGCATCATAACTATGATTTCATACCTGATAATATTTCAGCTGCCCGTTTAGCTCTTCCCGTTGTTTATCATACTCAGTAATAAAAGGCGCTAAAAGGCTAAAGAAAAAAAAAATTAGAAGTATGCCGTATTCTGTTCCACCTAGTTTAATAAATATGTAACAGGTAACAAGTTAAACATCAAAAACTCTGTTTAATTTACCTATAGGAATCAATACTTTGCCTTTTCCCCTAAACCATGAGTTTTTAACCTAAGCACAATTAATATTTGGGGCTGAAAAATTATTTGTTGTGTGGGGGCTGGCCTATGCATTGTAGGATGTTTAGCAACACCTCTGGCCTCTACCCATTAGATGCCAGTAGCAGCCTCACCCTCTACATTTATGACAAGCAAAAATGTCTCTAGACATTGCCACATATCCCTTGGGGGCAAAATCGTCCCTGGTTGAGAATCATCTTACAGACTCAGTAATACTTGCTTTTTCTTGTCAATTCAATAACAGCATTTAAACCTAATTATAGCGGACCATAAAATAAACATTTTTTTTTTCTTTTTTGTGACCGGTAGGGGGATCAGAACCCTTGGCTTGGAGTCGTCCGCACCGCGCTCAGCCATTGAGCGCACCGGCCATCCCTATATAGGATCCGAACCCGTGGTGGAAGCGCCGCTGTGCTCCCAGCGCCGCACTCTCCCGAGTGAGCCACGGGGTCGGCCCAAAATAAACATTTTTAACACTAAAGAAATTATTTTAGTGATAATAAATATAATGTGAAAATAATATTTTTCTGGTAATACTTTACCTTTGGTCAACTACTGAGTTTTCTGATGTGTCATCTCCATCTCCTTTGATGACAGCATTCTATAACAGAAAATATGCATCTTTAAATGTTTTCTCATCTCATTCTAGCTAAAATTGACAGTGGTTTAAAATTAAATACAATTAAAACTTTTATAATCTTAGAAAAATCTATTGATGTAATTCAAAAAGAGAAAAAAAGAAAAAATAATCATCTCAATTGATATTAAAAAATGAGGGTACTTCAAAAAGTTTGTGGAAAAAAATAGAATTGAAAGATGATACAAATCCTTCCATGAACTTACTGAAGTATCCTTGTATTTGGCAAATTTAACACCCATATATAATAAAAACTCTTGGCATATTAGGAGAACAATAAAGTTCTCTTAATTTGATTTAAAAATACCTACCAGTAACCTACATTAATTAACATTCTTCATGGTGAAACAGCAGAACAAATAATTCACTAACAATACAAGGCTGCTTGCTATTCAACTGCTAAAATTCGACATTGTAATAAATGTTCTAGTCAATGCAATATGCTGTGGGGGTAATTTAAAGGTTAAAAAGCAAGATATAACACTATTATTACATACAAACAATTTTACCATTTCCCTAGAAAACTCCACATAATTTACCAATTATGAGGACTAACAAGGGAATACACTAAGTCACCAGATAAAAGATAAACATTTAAAAAATGCAGTAGCTTTTTCAAATATTGACAATAATTATAAAATGTTATAAGAAAAAAAATCCTATTCACTACTGTAACAAGAGGTAATACCTGGAAATAAAGCAAACAAAAAATGGTACAAGAACTTACTGAAAAAATTAATTTTCCTGAAGGACATAAAAGAAGATCTAAATAAACAGGGTGCTATGCTGCTATGGTTTGAATGTTTGTCCCTCCAAAGCTTATGTGGAAGCTTGATCCCCAATGTGGCAGTGTTAAAAGGGTGGGAAACCTAACTATGGTATGGGAAANAATCCTATTCACTACTGTAACAAGAGGTAATACCTGGGAATAAAGCAAACAAAAAATGGTACAAGAACTTACTGAAAAAATTAATTTTCCTGAAGGACATAAAAGAAGATCTAAATAAACAGGGTGCTATGCTGCTATGGTTTGAATGTTTGTCCCTCCAAAGCTTATGTGGAAGCTTGATCCCCAATGTGGCAGTGTTAAAAGGGTGGGAAACCTAACTATGGTATGGGAAAAGTGGGTCCTTTATGAGGTGATTGAATTGTGAGGATTGTGCCCTCATGAATGAATTAATTCATTCATGGACTAATGGGTTAATGATTTAATGGGTTATTAGGGACTAGACTGGGGGCTTTATAAGGATAAGAAAGCATGTGAGAATCTGCTCCTGCTCAGCCCTTGCCATGTGACTGTCTGCATTGCCACAGGACTCCTGAGAGAGTTGCCACCAAGAAGAAGGCCCTAACCAGATGTGCCCCCTGTACCTTGGACTTCCCAGCCTCCAAAACTGTAAGAAATAAATTCTGTTTCCTTATACACTACCCAGTTTCATGTATTCTATTATCAGTGACAGAAAACTTACTAATGACATATACTACATTCATGTATGTGTGGAACAATTAATAATGTAAGTATTCTCTAAAATTCAATACAACTTCAATGCAACTCCCCCCCAAAAAATTCCAATAGAATAATTTATGAAACTTGATCTTAAATAGATCCTAAAGTTCCTATGAATGAATAAACGTGCAAAATTAGCCAAGATAATCTGGCAAAACAAAAAGAAAAAAAGAGGGAAGTGCTTGCTTTATTATAATCCAAACACCATAATGCTAGAGTAATTAAGACAATATCTGACAGAAACAGTAACAAAGAGACAGTAAAAAAATCCAGAAATAGGTTCGAGCATTTATACATATGTTATATATAAAAGAAGTGGAATTATAACTGAATGGACAAAGTACTGCTATTCAACAGTTCTGGGTAGTGAAACAATATTAGGTCCCAGCATGCACTAAATGGAAAAATAAATTTCTCATAGATTAAAGGTCCAAATGTTTTTGAAAAAATCTTTAATAATTAATGCAAAAAAATTCATTATTAACCTTAGGTTAGAGAAAGCTTTCTTAAACTTTACAAATGCAGAGAACTTTGTCTGTTTTACTCATTAATATCCTGAGCAGTGCCTGGCATACTTTTACTTAAATTATATTTGCTAGCTGGAAGACACCAGGAGTAAAACTCATAAATGAAAAGACCGATGTATTATCTGTTTATGTTGCTTATAACAAAGTACATGGAACTGGGTGATTTATAAAGAAAATGAAATTTATTGCTTACAGTTTCTGAGGCTGGGAAGTCCAAAGTCCATCTGGTGGTGGCAACAGTGACCCAGGGTTCTCACATTGTAAGATGGTGGAAGCACAGAGAGCAGAGAGAGAGAGAGAGACTCTCCTCTTCTTTTTAAGCCCTCAGAACCACATCCCTGACCACCATTTTTAATCCATTCACTACTGCATGATCCTANTAAACGTGCAAAATTAGCCAAGATAATCTGGCAAAACAAAAAGAAAAAAAGAGGGAAGTGCCTGCTTTACTATAATCCAAACACCACAATGCTAGAGTAATTAAGACAGTATCTGACAGAAACAGTAACAAAGAGACAGTAAAAAAATCCAGAAATAGGTTCGAGCATTTATACATATGTTATATATAAAAGAAGTGGAATTATAACTGAATGGACAAAGTACTGCTATTCAACAGTTCTGGGTAGTAAAACAATATTAGGTCCCAGCATGCACTAAATGGAAAAATAAATTTCTCATAGATTAAAGGTCCAAATGTTTTTGAAAAAATCTTTAATAATTAATGCAAAAAAATTCATTATTAACCTTAGGTTAGAGAAAGCTTTCTTAAACTTTACAAATGCAGAGAACTTTGTCTGTTTTACTCATTAATATCCTGAGCAGTGCCTAGCATACTTTTACTTAAATTATATTTGCTAGCTGGAAGACACCAGGAGTAAAACTCACAAATGAAAAGACCGATGTATTATCCGTTTATGTTGCTTATAACAAAGTACATGGAACTGGGTGATTTATAAAGAAAATGAAATTTATTGCTTACAGTTTCTGAGGCTGGGAAGTCCAAAGTCCATCTGGTGGTGGCAACAGTGACCCAGGGTTCTCACATTGTAAGATGGTGGAAGCACAGAGAGCAGAGAGAGAGAGAGACTCTCTTCTTCTTTTTAAGCCCTGAGAACCACATCCCTGACCACCATTTTTAATCCATTCACTACTGCATGATCCTACAATGCAGTCACCTCTTCAAGGCTCCACCTTTCAATTACCATAATAGGATTTCCCACCCTCTTAACAGTCACAGTGGGGGCTAAGTTTCTAATACATAAATCTTGGGGGACACAATTCAAGTTTCAGGGAGTTTGAGGGGGACATAATTCAATCCACTACAACTGACAAATTTTACAACATCCAAATTTAAAACTTCTATACTGCTAAAGGTACCATAAACAAATTTAAAAGGCCAGCAACATTTGTAACATAGTCAAAAATTTAGTATCTAGTATAGAGTACAAAGAAACATTCAAAAACAAGAACATGTACAAGGACATCCTGTGCAGGCTTTATTGTAATAAAAAAAAAAATTAGGAAAAATATGTCTATTAGTAAGACAAATGAAAAATAATACAACAGGATCCCATAAGTATTTCAAGAACTTAACTAGATTTGTATGCATCAACATAAATATTAAAACAAAGAGGTTACTTCCAGGGGTGAAAAAAGAAAATGGGACAGAGAGGAAAGGTGTTCAAAGAGATCATTAAAATCATCTGTAATATTCTGGTTTTTTGAAGGGAAAAAGTATTCATAATCACATGTATAATAAAAATGATTTAGAAATATAACTCAAAGAAGCTTCAAATTCTAAAGTTTCACTTAATTTTCAACATCTTAAATCTATAAACACTTATTTACTTACTATGTACAAAGGCCCATATTAGGCACAGTAGGTAATACAAAGATGAACAACTCATGGTCCTTATCCATAGGATAGGTGTGGAGTTACAGAAAGAGACAGGCAAATAAGCAAGGAACAATAATAATCATAGACTTGCCATGGAAGAGGCATAGAATGTTGAGAATGAGTAGGTTGAAACGAAGATAATCAATACTATTTTTATTCAAGTACTACATACATACAGAAGAATGCACAAATTAAAGTACACAGCTAAATAAATTTTCACGAAGTCAATATAACCATGCAACAAGAACTCAGATCAAGCAGCAGAATATAAGCACCCCTCACTTTGCATGGCAACGTGTTAACAGAAATTTGTACATATTGGAATTAGTGTCTTCATTTTGCACAGTTCTGTGGAAACATCAAATCTAAACAAGGACACAGTTCTGATATGCACAAGTTTCAGTTAATATGGTGCTTCAAAAAGTGAGAACTGCCTGCATAACCAACAACCCAAAAGCCCCTAAGTGCCCTCCTCCAGTCACTACCCCCAGAGTCCCTCAAGGGTAACCAAGTCCTGACAGCAGAGATGAGTTTTGCCTGTTGTTTAAATTTATAAAAACAGAATTGCACAGTATATTCTCTTTTATGTCTGGCTTCTTTTGCTCAATATTGGGTTTGCGGGATTTCTTTCTTATTGTTGCTAGTAATTTTGGTTCGTTCATTCTTATCGACATATACTATTTCACTCTATGAGTTTGCCACAATCTATTCATTCCTTCTACTGTTAAATGAACATTTGGGTGTTCAGTATTTGGGTATTGTGAATAGTGCTGCTATAAATATTCTTGTAAAAGTCCTTTTGATGTATACATTGCTGATGGGTATACCTAGGAGTGGAACTGATGACTCATAGCATCTGCATCAGTCAGTTCTAGTAGATTATGCCAAATAATTTTCTAAAGTGAATAGACCAATTTATTCTCCCATGGGCAGTATATGAGTGTTTTTATACATTTTTGTCAACACTTGAAATTAGGTCTTTCACTCTAGCCAGTGGGTGTGTAATAGTATCTCATTGTGGTTTTAATTTCCA